ATTTAGTTTAATTTACCTTGGGTAGGGCAGAGGGACTTCAGCTGTGCCTACGCCACACTTTCACGGATATGGGACATCTATGTTATGTATCTGGCTTTATTGCCAGACAGGCCTTTTGGCATTTCTGTTGTTATTGTTGTAGGTCTGTTTGCCTCTTATGTGTATGTATGCCTGTTAGCCCCTCCCCTCTCTTTTTTGGTACATTGTTATGGTACAAGCAGAGTTTTAAAGTTCAGGGCTTGAATGTTTTCTCTCAAAGATGGATAAAAATTTAAATACTATTAAGGTGGTGACTTTGAATGTAAATGGTATCCAGAATAAAATTAAAAAACATAAGATCCTTACTTATCTAATGTCCCTTAATTGTGATATCGCTATGTTACAGGAGACTCAAACTTAAAACAGCAGTGGGTGGGGCAGGTCTCCTCCTCAGGACGTCAGGCTAGTCGGGGGGTGAGCATTTTAATCTCCAAAAGTATAGCATTTAAACTGAGTAAGATCCACACTGATCTTGAGGGTAGGTATATCATAGTTACTGGTCTCTTGCAGAATCAAAAACTTACACTGGTGAATATTTATGCACCTAACATATCTCTCTCTCTATCTAATTTTTTATCGGCCCTCTATCCAGTGATTTCCTGCCATATGGAAGGACCGCTTATCATTGCAGGAGATTTCAATTGTGTGTTAAATGCATTATTAGATAGGTCGAATGGTCCTCTTCCATCAGATAGGCGAAATTCGGCTGCAGTGCATGAGTTTCAGATGCAGTTATCAATCAGTGATGTTTGGCGCATGGTAAATTCAGATAATCAGGAATATACTTTTTTCTCTAACCCACATAGCTCTTATTCCAGAATAGACTGCATCCTCATGTCCTCAAACCTTACTCAAAATATAATTAATTCTCAAATTCATAGTATTCTTGTGAGTGATCATGCAGCTGTATCTGTCTCTTTTGCTTCACCTTCCAATCCTTATAGATCTAAGCCGTGGCGACTAAATACTTCTCTTCTTAAAAATACAGATTTTGTTTCATAATTGGAAACAAAATCTCTGAATTTTTTTTAAATAAATTTGAACTCAGTATCAACTGTGTCCACTGTATGGGAAGCCTTTAAGGCCACATGCAGAGGATGGATCATCAGCTACGCAACAGCTGAGAAATGTAAAAAAGCAGAGAAAAAGTTACATTTAAATGTTAAACTGAGGAAACTGGAGGAACAGCATATGGCTGACCCTTCAAACTTAGATCTTAGAAAATCTCTCACTGCAACAAGGGAAGACCTACAGAGGATTTTACATGAGGAGAAAGCCTATGCTTTATTTAGAACACGAAGACTGTATTTTGAGTCAGGTGACAAGGCTGGGAGGATGTTGGCAAATAGAATAAAACAGATAGAGAATAGGCAGTTTATTCCAGCAGTTAGAGATGAACAAGGTAGACTACAGTGTGATGTTAAGTTAATTTCCCAAACTTTTAAACAGTATTATACTAAATTATATGGAACAGAGGGTGGGGCCAGTAAACAAAAGATGGATGTCTTTTTTAAGCATTTGGAGCTCCCTTCTGTGGAGAGGGAGGATGAACTTGTGTTAGATGCCTCCTTAACAAGGTCAGAGATTGAGACTGCGATTGGGAAAATGGCTTGTGGGAAAACTCCAGGGGAGGATGGTTTTGGTGCAGAATTTTATAAATGTTTCCAAAAATCAGTTATCCCCCATATTACTTTTACTTTATGAAGAAATTATTGAACGTGAGATCATGCATCCCTCCATGTGTAAAGCCATCATATCCCTTTTGCCCAAAGCTGGAAAAGACTCTACTCTAGCAGGAAACTACAGGCCATTAAGTCTTCTTAATAGTGACTACAAAATAATGGCAAAGAAACTTGCCCTTCGATTGGAAGGTGTAGTCCCATCCATAATACAAGTAGACCAAGCTGGTTTTATTCCGGGCCATCTAGCTGCTAATAATATGCACAGGCTTTTTCATGTACTGCTGGGTGCTGACTCCCTTAATGAACCTGCAATAGCTGCATCACTTGATGCAGAGAAGGCCTTTGACAGAAATGAATGGCCTTACCTTTTTTATTCTTTTGAAAAGTTTGGTTTCGGTCCTAGGTTTATTAGATAGGTTAAGGCCCTTTATTGTAATCCAATCTCAGCTGTCAAAATTAATGGCCTTATTTCAGATTTTATCCCCCTGCAACGTGGAGTGAGGCAGGGATGTCCCGTCAGCCCCCTTCTTTTTGTCATCTCCCTGGAACCTCTGGCCTGTGCAATCCGTGCTTGTTCAGACATATATGGTGTTAACTTATATGAATATGATAGTAACTGAGCTTGCACGCTGATGATATATTACTGACACTGAGGAGACCATTATCTTCCTTTCCAGCAGTTTTAAATTTAGTTAATACCTTTGGAGGTTTTTCAGGGTGCAAAATTAATTGGAAAAAAAGTGAGGTGATACCTCTTAATTCTAACACATTCAAGTCTGATCTTGGAGATACACTGTTTTTGTGGCAATTAAAGGGAATTAAATATTTAGGAATTATTATTAAAGCCCCAGTCACAGAAATATTTAGTTTGAATGGCCCATCTATCCTGCGTGCAGTAAAAGATGACCTTGAGAGATGGTCCAGCTTACCACTTTCTTTGTGGGGCAGAGCCGAACTTTTGAAAATGAATGTATTGTCTAGACTTACGTATATAATTTCTTATATTCCTCTTAAGTTCCCTGACTCTTGGTTTGAAGAAATACATTCCCTTTTCATCAAGTTTTTATGGTGTGAAAATAAACCTAGAATTTCATACAAAAAGTTATGCATCCCCAGATCCAAAGGTGGACTAGGTGTTCCAGATTTATTTAATTACTATATTTCATATAACGCACGGTATCCACTCTCATGGGCATATAAGGATCACTATCGGGTGTGCAGTTGGGAACAGCTTGAGGAATCGGTACTAGCTCAATATAAAGGTAGATCCTTAGCTTCGTTATGGTACTACCCCAAACCTCCTGTCGCCTTGGAAAATTGTATTATTAGTTTTTCATGTTCCATTGCTAGAATTTTACATAAAAGGTTTAATATTAATAGTGGACTATGTCTTCCCTCGTGCCTTATTTGGAACAATCCTGCTCTTATGTCTGGAAGAGGCACGCTCAGTAGCAAACAATTGATGACATATGGCATTAATACAGTCGGACAGATTTAGGATGGTAAGATTTTACCCTATGAATTGATTAAGGAAAGATTTGGCCTATCAGATACATTCTTTTTGACATATGCTCAGTTATCTTCCATTTTGAAAAAAAGTACACTGAGGGGACAGAGCCTGCCACTTGCCAAGAACAGGATGGAGTTTTTGTGAGAGCCACCCGGTCAAGACGTTCTGTCTCTTATATTTATAAATTTTTGTCATCTGATTGTTATAAGTTGTATATCTCCACTCAAGAGGCATGGGTGGGTGACCTTAAATTATCTCTCTCAGTTGCACAGTGGACCCTTATTTGGAATTCTGGCATACGTTTGTCTAAATGTGAAAGGTACAAGATGATTCAGTATAAGATTTTATGCAGAGCCTGTATCTGAAAATGTTGATGATTTGTGCTGGCATAGTTGTGGCCTCCGTGGCTCATTATTTCATCTCTTGTGGGAATGCCCAGCTGTCTAAACTTTATGGTCAGAGATGCATGCAATTATGACAGAGATCCTTGATGTCACCTTCACCCTGTCTCCCACAGTATGGGAGTATGTATTTTGGGCTGTAAGCCTGACAAAATAACCAGCCCCATTATCAGTCGCCTATGGGCATTAGGCTGCCTTTCAGTTAAAAGGTTAATTCTTTGCAATTGGAAAGAACGAAAGCCGGCCTGTTTTTCAAAGGAGGTATGGCTCGAGGAATACTTAGACCTCCTTAACATGGAGAGAGCAGCCAGTTTTCTGAAAGATTTCGATAGGGGTCTTAGTGGACAATGGGATATTATTAGGAGATATTTGAATTAGTATCATGGAGTATCATGTACCGTCCCCCCTCCTCCCTGTTTATTCTGTGTTGTTATTTTATCTTGTCTGCTTGCTTATCGCTTGTCTGTTTTTGTTGCTGTTATGTTTCGTCTCTATAAACTGAAAAAAACTTAAAAAAAGTGTATGTTTTTACATATATGTATGTATATATATATGTACTTTTTTAAAGTTTATATATATATATATATATATATATATATATATATATATATATACATATACATATACATATGCACATACACACATTTATATATATGTGTGTTGCCACCAGGATGAGGCCTACTACATTCGTCGCCTCACTGACATAGCAAACAACAGAAGGGCTGGGGTTGCCAGATTAAAGTGTGTCCTTTATGAAAGTGATGTGGAATGTGGAAAGATTGCACCAGTTAGGAATATGTGTTGTATTTTTGTCTTGTAATATTTTCTGTTATTCTGTTATGTAATGTAAAATGAAATACATGGTTTGCATCATTTTTACAGGTAGACCAAAACCAGTACGTGGTTTCAAGCACAACATCAGAGTTGAAGTACAATGTCAACACAGCAACTGGATGCTGCATGTGTCCAGTTGGAGTCACTGGTGCACTGTGCAAACATCAAATTGCAGTTTTGAATAAGTTTGGTTAACATAAGAGCTTTCCACACATCAGCACACCTCAGACGTGAAGGCTCTACAATTAGATTTCAACTGGTGAGTTATGGTTGATGCCGTTTGTTGCAGCCATTTGGTATTTTCTAATTTATATATGGATTGATATAGGATTATCTTGACCATACTTCTGCTAACACGTGCACCGATGCCATGTGAGTGACTTTGAAGAATTTAGTAGGTATCAGAACATGAGAACCCCAGTATTATTGACGATAGAGTCACACAACACATTATGGTACTTTATGTGTTCCATCTGAGTAGACAATAAATATTCTGTTCTACTCTGTTCTTTATATTCTTTTCTATCTACTAGTTTTGGGCAGGGCTCATGAGGAGAGCATGAATGAGGGTCCATCAGTTGCCAAATCTAGTACCCCAGGTCAGTGAAATTGCATTAGAAGTGTGTTGAATAATGTCTTTGATGTAGTAAAGCAACATGAATCAAATTTTATGGGACTATGGAAACAGAATATATGCTAAGGCTTTCTACAAATAGATTTAAATAGATCTCTCTCTCTCTCATTCTCACTCTCACTCTCCTTTTAGGTGGTGAAGGTGTTGTCAGTGCCAGTCCTGGACAAGGTAAAATCATTTTAATTCTTTCATACTGACAATTTGGGTTATTAGCAGCTGTGTAGAGCCCCCTCATTCAGACTGAGTGACCTGGGGCACAGGCACTACCTAATGATGTGGGTAGTGGAGCTGAGCTATTTGATCCATGGCAGTCCTTTCACACTGAGCTAAAACCCAGGTGACTTACCCCATTTGTCTTGGGTCTGAAAGGGGTATTAGTGACAATGCTTTTTGCAAATTTGTAAATTTCAGTATGGCAAATAATAAAGATTAAAACATGACTTTTTTAATGCACAATTGACAAGTAATGAGACAACAAGACGCAGCTTTATCAAAGGGTTATCAAAAATGTTAAAACAATAAAATATTATATCAGTCGATACAGATATTTATCACAGTAAATGTCAGATCTTTATTTTTTTCAAGTTTAAAGGCTGATATTTGCTCCTTAGTGAAAGTTGAAGAAACCAGACGGCAGGGTTCCTGCTGGTCCTTAAAATGTTCTAAAAGGCACTAAGTTATCCATCCATCCATTTTCGTAACCGCTTATCCTCTTGAGGTTCACAGAGGGATGGTGCTTATCCCAGCTGACATTGAGCGAGAGGCAGGGTACACCCTGGACAGGTCACCAGACTATCACAGGGCTGACACATAGAGACAGACAACCATTCACACTCACATTTACACCTACAGACAATTTAGAGTCACCAATTAACCAATCGCCAACCTGCATGTCTTTGGACTGTGGAAGGAAGCCGGAGTACCCAGAGAAAACCCACACTGACATGGGGAGAACATGCAAACTCCAAACAGAAGGGCTCCCTTGCTGTGAGGCGACAGTGCTAACCACTAAAATGTTAAAACAATAAAATATTATATCAGTCGATACAGATATTTATCACGATAAATGTCAGATCTTTATTTTTTTCAAGCTTAAAGGCTGATATTTGCTCCTGAGTCAAAGTTGAAGAAACCAGACGGCAGGGTTCCTGCTGGTCCTTAAAATTGCTGTACACTGGACGACATGGGGAAGTGCAAATTCAACAAAAATTGGCTATTTAAACCAGATTGTGCAGCATGGCTGACAACGGTAAACATAATGCATAAGAGATTTGGTGTATGTTATTCAAAAAGCTTTTCAAACTTGGCACAATGGGAATCAAGGCAGTGGAATCCCAAAGAGTGAGAAACACAAAATAACCAAGAAAACCTGCCAACAAATGCCAAGTGTTTCCCTTTTGTGTTCTAGCCTTGTCGCTGCCACACCTCTTCCCCCATCTCCGATACCATCACCAGGGTCAGCAGCAACATTAGGATGCATGTCTACACAGTTACTGTGGTGCCTGAACAGGGTAACAAAACAATAATCATACAAGCCAAATGAGTGAGTAGGGGTCCTGTTATCCGAAATCTGTCGGTTCACGTTCTTTTTTCTAGTTGTTATTGCTTATTGTAAAATTAGCCTTAAATTTTATCCCACTTGGTATTAAAAAAGTCTTCTTCAAAGTTCTTTTTATTGAATTTGCAATTTACACAGATACAGTCAGGTCCATAATTATTTGGACAATGATACACTTGTCATCATTTTGGCTCTGTACACCACCACAATGGGTTTTAAATGAAACAATGAATACCTGCTTAAAGTGCAGACTCTCAGCTTTCATTTAAGGCTTTTTTCAAAAATGTAGTATGAACCATGTAGGAATTACAACCATTTCTTCACACAGTCCCCCAACTTTAAGGGCTCATAAGTATTTGGACAAACTAACATAATCATCAATTAAACAGTCAGTTTTAATACTTGGTTGCAAATCCTTTACAGTCAATGACTGCCTGAAGTGTTGGACACATAGGCATCATCAGATGCTGGGTTTCTTCCCTGGTGATGCTCTGCCAGCCCTTTACTGCAGCCGTCTGCACTTCCTGCTTGTGTTTTGGGTGTTTTGCCCTCAGTTTTAGCTTCAGCAAGAGAAACGCATGCTCAATTGGATTCAGGTCAGATGATATGACTTGGCCATTGCAGAACATTCCACTTCTTTGCCTTAAAAATGCCTTTGGTTGCTTTTGCAGTATGCTTCAGGTCAATGTCCATCTGCACTGTGAAGCATCGTCCAATGAGTTTTGAAGCATTTGGTTGAATCTGAGCAGATAATGGTGCCCCAAACACTTTAGCTCTCATCCTGCTGCTCTTCTCAGCAGTCACATCATCAATAAATACAAGAGAACCAGTTCCACTGGCAGCCATATATGGCCATGACATAACAGTACCTCCACCATGCTTCACTGATGAGGTGGTGTGCTTTGGATCATGAGCAGTTCCTTCCCTTCTTCCTTCTCTTGTCTTCCCATCATTCTGGTAGTTGATCTTTGTTTTATCTGTCCATAGTATGCTGTTCCACAACTGTACAGGCTTTTTAGATGGTTTTTGACAAACTCTAATCTGGCCTTCCATTTTTAAGGCTAACCAATGGTTTGCAACTTGTGATAAACCCTCGGTATTTATTCTAGTGAAGTCTTGTCTTGCTTGCAAGAGCAGCAGGATGAAAGCTGAAGTGTTTGGGGCACCATTATCTGCTCAGATTCAACTAAATGCTTCAAAACTCATTGGACGATGCTTGACAGTGCAGATGGACAATGACCTGAAGCATACTGCAAAAGCAACCAAAGACATTTTTAAGGCAAAGAAGTGGAATGTTGTGCAATGGCCAAGTCATATTATCTGACCTGAATCCAATTGAGCATGCGTTTCTCTTGCTGAAGCTAAAACTGAGGGCAAAACACCCAAAACACAAGCAGGAAGTGCAGACGGCTGCAGTAAAGGGCTGGCAGAGCATCACCAGGGAAGAAACCCAGCATCTGGTGATGTCTATGTGTCCAACACTTAAGGCAGTCATTGACTGTAAAGGATTTGCAACCAAGTATTAAAACTGACTGTTAAATTGATGATTATGTTAGTTTGTCCAAATACTTATGAGCCCTTAAAGTTGGGGGACTGTGTGAAGAAATGGTTGTAATTCCTACACGGTTCATACTACATTTTTGAAAAAAGCCTTAAATGAAAGCTGAGAGTCTGCACTTTAAGCAGTTATTCATTGTTTCATTTAAAACCCATTGTGGTGGTGTACAGAGCCAAAATGATGACAAGTGTATCATTGTCCAAATAATTATGGACCTGACTGTATATACACACGCACAAAAAACAACAAAAAAACAACAACACAATACCCACCCCAAAAACGCACAACCCTTACCCCCTGCTGTCACTCTGTTGGTTAAACTTGTTTCACATTACAGAGAGGAGAGATGTACAACATGGTTCAGTAAGGTAAAATGAAATTGAAAAATAAAAAGTATTGGACTTGAAATAAGACATTTGCAGAAGCAGCCCATCCAGGTCTGATGTGTCAAAAAACGTGTGTCAGGGGCTTGTCAAAGAATGTCAGGAAAGACCTCCACACTTGAACAAATTTCTTTTTGGAACCTCGTAGTGTATACCTGATTTTTTTCAAGCTTCAGGTTAAACAACACATCCCTTATCCAGTGAAAGAGGGTGGGGCAGCATCTTTCCATGTCAAAAGTATCAGGAGCCAAGCCAGGAGGATAGTAAAGGCAACAACTTTATGGCCCCCCACAGGTAGCTGCATACCTTCGGGAGTAATTCCGAACAGTGATATGAGAGGGTTTGGATCAGGTTTAACTGTTAAGACTGTGGAGAGAGCTTCGGAAATAGCTCTCCAATACCGAAGTTGGGACAGAGCCAGAACATGTGAATTAGTGTCGCCTCCGCAGACTTGCATCTATCACAAGTAGGGTCAATTTGTGGATATATTTTAGCTAGTTTGGATTTGGAGAGATGCACCCGGTGTACCACTTTAAATTGAAGGAAAGAGTGTCGAGCACACATGGAGGAGGAGTGAACTCTTTTCAGAATCTTATCCCAAGTTCCCTCATTGATTGTTATTTGCCTATCCTGTTCCCATGCGGTTCTGATACCAGACAAGGAAGGACAGTCTAAATTAGAGATTAGCCCAAGTATAAATGAAATTCCGCCCTTGTTTGTGGGGTTAGAGGACATGATGTTATCAATTATTTTGTTAGAGGGTTTATTAGGAAATCGGGGACAAACCCTTTAATAAAATGCCTAATCTGTAAATATGTAAAATGGGAACTGGGTATACTAAATTTTTTTGACAGCTGTTCAAAAGAGGCGAATTAGTTAATAATAAAGATTTCATTGAAACATTTCAGGCCCCTCCCATGCCACACATGAAATGCTGTATCTAGTAATGAAGGTGGGAAAGGGTGATTAAATGCCACTGGGCTAGAAAGGCATATATCTTGTAGATTAAAATGTTTTCTTTACTGTGAGTAGATTTTGAGGGAGTTACTGACTACTGGAGTAATATTGGACAGGTTTAGAGGTAAAAGCATTGATGTGCCAATTAGAGCTGGTAGAGAAACAGGGCCACAAAGATGTGTCTCCATGGCTACCCAGGTAGGACAATTTTTGTCTAGATGGTGGTGAGTCCAGTATGACAAGTTGGCTGCCCAGTAATAAAATCTGAAATTTGGAAGGGCCATACCTTCATCATGTTTCACTCTTTACAGGTTATCTTTATACAAGCGTGGCTGTTTACCATTCCAAATATATGGTGATATTATTGAGTCAAATTTTTTGAAATATGTACCAGGGATAAATTACCCAATTACCCAAATCCTGTTTGGCTCATCAGTTTACTCATTAGTTATGCTTAAAGAGATCTGTAAAATTCTTTGTCACTGTAACTCCCTGGTAAGTAAAGCTATCCATAGTTATTCTAAAACGTAATCTGATGTTCTGAAGTGTTGAAATGTCCAGATTTAATGGGAATAACTCGCTTTCATGGAGGTTTAATTTATAACCTGAGATCTCCCCAAACTGCTGTAACAGATTAAGGATTAAAGGAATTGCAGTCTCAGCATGAGACTCATAAAGAAGGAGATCATCGGCATAAAGGGATACTTTATGT